AAACCTTTCAAATACACAACTTTAACGTACACTATCATGTATATTTCGTCATAATTTTCTTGGAAATTAGATATCCTTTCATCTTCTAGTTTTGAAGAGAAAGTAGCAAGTGAAATTGTGTAGAGAATCTTGCAAAATTACTGTAAAATTTCATTGCCAACCAATGCTTACCGCCGAAGTAGACCTGGGATCCGCAAACCTGACCTCTGTAGATGCTATACAAATTAAATCCACCGGAATGAAAGTAGTAATCGAGCAGAAAGAACCTATAGAAATCAAAGTAGCAAAAAAAAATTTCTTTGGATAAAGTCGACCAAAGTAGAGAGCAAATCCATTGGCCACGATTTTATGGATTAGCTCGTAGTTGTAGAAGCTAATATTAACCTGCTTAGAAGGCCCATAATCGGGCAATACTCGCGTCCACCTACTAATGGTGCAAAAATCCCTAACATCCAATGCACTAAGATTGAGCAGAGCATACAAGTTCCAATTAGATGACGTATTGGAAGAGTACGACCCCTCATTGCATGGACCGGTAGTGATGTAAAATGAAAAATCAATCGGCTTTGAGCAGTTCACAATGACCAACATAGCTTCTTCATCCAAGAAGTATAAGTTGCTTGGATCGATACTTAAGTCATAGATCCGTCATGAATAATGGGAGAGAGATGAGCAATTATCATTTCGCAACCCATCGTTGACCAATATGATTTGTTGGGTGGAATAATTAATAGACTGCACATAGAATCGGTCATCAAGCAAATACATAATGGTGCGATTATTTTCACAAACCAGCTCTTTTTTTGGTTACCGCATCCCTTTGCATGATTCTCCAATCGAAACGGGTGACTTATATTGTGAATATCACCACAGGATGAAGCGATGCACCACAGATTACTTGACCTAGCATTGTGTAGAGAATCATGCAAAATTACTGTAAAATTTCATTGCCAACCAATGCTTACCGCCGAAGTAGACCTGGGATCTGCAAACCTGATCTCCATAGATGCTATACAAATTAAATCTACCGGAATGAAAGTAGTAATCGAGCAGAAAGAGCCTATAGAAATCAATGTAGCAAAAAAAGTTTTTCTTTGGATAAAGTCGACCAAAGTAGAGAGCAAATCCATTGGCCACAATTTTATGGATTAGCTCGTAGTTGTAGAAGCTAATATTAACCTGCTTAGAAGGCCCATAATCGGGCAATACTCGCGTCCACCTGCTAATGGTGCAAAAATCCCTAACATCCGATGCACTGGGATTGAGCAGAGAATACAAGTTCCAATTCGATGATGTGTTGGAAGAGTATGACCCCTCAATGCATGGACTAGTAGTGATGTAAAATGAAGAATCAATCGGCTTTGATCAGTTCACAATAACCAACGTAGCTTCTTCATCCAAGAAGTATAAGTTGCTTGGATCGATACTTAAGTCATAGATCCGTCATGAATAACGGGGAAGAGACGAGCAATTATCCTTTCGCAACCCATCGTCGACCAATATGATTTGTTGGGTGGAATAATTAATAGACTGTACATAGAATCGGCCATCAAGCAAATACATAATGGTGCGATTCTTTTCATTAACCAGCTCTTTTTTTGGGTTACCGCATCCCTTCGGGTCACTCTTCAATCAAAATGGGTGACTTATATTTCGAATATCACCACAGGATGAAGTGATGCACCACGGATTACTCGACCTGGCATTGCTAGTCATCGCTTGCAATAGGACAAGGACGAGTAGCGACACTGGATGGACATTCATGGAGCTGAGAGCAAGTAATCATGTCTCTGTTCGTCTTTGGTCAAGGAGAAATTGGTACAGAATTGCTTGGTGCGTGTGGAGGAGAGGCACAATATAAAAAGACGGAAAAAGGTGGGACGATCCTTGTTTGATGGAGAGACTTTGGAGTCGCCTTGTACTATAGAGAAGCCCAAGTCAGTCAAGGGAACAAATGCATGGAAGTCAAGAAATTAAAGGAGGTGGACCCAAACTTAATGACCTCCATATACACCACCATCAACGAAATTTACACCCATTGAAATTTCAAAAGTTTCTTCCACTGTCTCCCTCTTTCCCCATCACTTCCTTCGGATACGCCATCTTCCCTTCTTGTTTTCTTCTTCGTTTTTTTACTCCTCCCATCTTTCTCCGCCCCACGAGTCCCGGTCATAGGAAAATTGATATCTGGTTTTGAGGAACAATATCAAAAATTAAAACCAGCTTGCCTCGAAACTTCTTCTTCTTCTCCGTCATCCTTGAAGACTTTTTCTGAACAATCGTCGGCGCTTTATCACTCGATATGTACCTCATGTTTGTTAAGTTAAGTTACAAACTTCATACATAATCCATTATATACATGTTCGAATCATTTCATGGGATAAATCGCTACAAGAAAAGTATCGTCTATAACTAATATATGTTTCACAATATCATCATTGATTTAGCTCCGAACGAGTACATATTTTTTTTTGGTAAGGTAACGAGTACATATTTTGTCGCACAAATTTGAAAAAAAATCCTTATGTAAAGTTAAAATGTATAAATTTGCAACGGTTTATATGCATAGTAATTACATAATTAGAGTGTATATTAGTCATTGATAAGTTTAAGAAAATACAAGTTCAATTCTAAATTTTGTTCTTGATTTTCTTATAAGAACCTAAATAAGTACTGGGACAAGGGAACACTTTTTTCTTGATGACTCTTAGTTATAATTATTTTGAATTTAAAAATTTATCTTTTAGCTAGAACTTTTCCGTTAGAATATTCAATTAATTAAGGTTGGGTTCATTCATATTTATTTTTTTAAAAAAAGACATACCTAAACAACCTATATTTTGCGTACGAGGCATATATATAGAGTTAATTAAAAATCACAATTTCTTAGATGAAAATTACTTCTTTGTCCATTGAATACAACATTTTGCAATTTACCTTAAGCAAATTATTTGGATTTTGATAGATTTAAAAAAAAATAAGTTTGAGCATGAAACTAAAGATGAGATTAATTTCTAATAATAGAGATCTTAACTTTTTGGGGGAGAGGGGTGTCTCTCTTCCCCATCACTTTCTTCTGATACACAATTTTCTTCTTCGTTTTTCCTCCTTGCTTCTTCGTCTGCACCTTCTTTGAATTTTTTCTGTTCCATCGTATACGTACTCCATATTTGCTAAATTAAGTCACAAACTTTACACATAATTCAATTTGTTACACAGTCAAATCATCTCATGAAATAAATAATCAATATAAGAAAAGTATCTCATATTACAATGATATATTGTATGACACTATCGTCAACCTAGCTAGGAACGACTAAGTGTCTTGTTGAGCAAATATGAAAAAATCCTTAGCGGAAGTTAAAATGTATAGATTTGTAATAGTTTATGTGCATAGTAGTTGCATAAAATACCCTCTCCTGTACTCCGCTTAAGAGCAAAATCATATCCATAGTTGTATATGCACGTGGCTAGAATAACTATACTTGCTTATAGAGTTGTTTGTATGCCGAAAGCATACGATCAAAACATGCCCATGTCATCATGGGTGAAAATGCAAGATTCCTTGATAACCAATGCATTTTCATCTATCACAACCCATTAATACCCACTCTTTTTAGATTATTTTAGACGATATGTCCGAGGAGTATGTTCTGCGATATATAAAGGAGAAAACAACATGTAAATAGCACATCACAAAGATCACGGATTTACCAAAAACATGATAACCCTAATAACTGAAGTTAGAGTTCGTCGATGAATAACTAAGGAGGAACGAGTAGTTACCCTTCTGCAATCCCACGTCAAACACAATGACATCGCCAGAATTGAAAGTGTTATTATTTCTATAGACGGATTTGACGATGTATTTAGGATTTTTCTCACATGTTAGCTCATTGAATCACCATAGCCTTTCGGATCACTCTTCAATTGAAAGGGATAGCTTATCTTGTGAACTTCGCCGCAAGAGAAGCAGAATAGGGTCGTTCATTCTAGGCATTACATGTCCCTAGTAGCACAACAAGAAAGACCAATGACACGAGGTACACTAGTGTGGAATTGAGAGGAAAAATCATGTCCCTCCCAGCCTGTGAGCAATGGAAATTTGGGGCTTGATATGTGGTGGAGGATCAACAAGGATACAATGTATATGTAATAATGGCAAATGAGAGAGATTTTGAATATTAAGACTTGGGGTTGTCTATTGGAAAGTCCATATCAACCGATAAAACAAAGTCAATCAAGTCGAGAATGTTACAAAGGTAGTGAGTAGAACCCAATATTATCACCATTTCTTTCTAGCAAGAAAACATCACAATTGACAACACATATATTTAGCCGTCCAACTATATCATTTCATATTTTTTGAGATCTTTCTTAGATAAGTAAGATATTTCAAATTCCCAGAGATATTTATGCTATTATTGAGTTTTCTATTTTCTAACATGACAAGAAAGCCGCCTTAAGATTTGATTGCAAACTTTGAATCAAAGTGAATCCGTACGAGTTAAGAATAGAATGCATCCTATAATTAAGGATTGCATAAATTCAATTCAAAGAAAAAAAATGTTAAGAAACCGAAAGAATTATCTACTGTATTCTATTTTTATCGAAGAAAATTCTCCATAAGTCGTTAGAGTAAAATATTGGAACTTTATAGTTCCCTCGCTGTCTTTGAAGAGAATCTTATAGCGTGTTCAACAGTTTGGCTTTTTTAGAAGACTTCAAAGTCACCGACAACAACAGGTGCGAGGGCTCATCGGGAAAATGCAAGTTCAATTATTTATCGCTTGACTGGTTCTTCTCGGATGAAATTTCGAGGAAGACCACGAAAGTTGTTTGTCGGTTTGTGATCTGTCACTAGTCCCTACTTTTGTCGGCCACGAAGAAGCTTGTGTCACGCGGTCGCAATTTTCCAAAGTTCTAATATTATTCTTTGCTTACCCTACCCAAAAAAAAGTCTTGCATCTCTGTCCTTTAGTATAAGAATAGATCAAAGAAGATCAAGCGGTGAATGCACTACCTGAAAACACAGTTTCAGATTTTCAGCGGATAGTCATTGCTGATTGTTAAACTCCATCGTCCAATGGCGGCTTCATCAAAATCCGAAAAAATTTACGACGTCTTCTTGAGTTTCAGAGGCACGGATCTGCGTAACAACTTCGTCGGTCATCTCTACCAAGCTTTACACCGGATTGGAATATACACTTTCCGGGATAGCGAGGAATTGAAAAAGGGAGACCAAATATCGATGCTCATGAAGGCCATTGAAGAATCATGCATCGCAATCGTCGTTTTCTCTGAGAACTATGCTTCCTCAACGTGGTGCTTAGAAGAGGTGTCCAAGATTATGGAGTGCAACGAGCAAAAGAACCTCACCGTTCTACCAGTGTTTTATAAAGTGGACCCAAGAGAAGTGAGAGGGGGCAGAGAGAGTTATCGGAGAGCTCTGGCTAAGCACGAGTCCAAGTTCGGGAATGATTCGGAGAAAGTGAAGAGATGGAAGAAAGCTCTTTCCGATGCTGGTAACTTGTCCGGGTGGCATTTGAATGATGGGTAAGTAGAGTGAAGTCCATATTTTCTGTAAGAAAAGTAATCTTTACAAGCAAGTATACATATTGTTTTAAAATTTTTAAAGATAAATAAATAAATGGACGCACACATGCTTGTAAGTATATGTATACATGCTTCATCTTATGATTCCTGAAAATTCTTAAGTTGCTTAAGTTTAAGTTAGTAATTTCATAAAAGAGTTGATGAGTCTAAGTGTAGTTAAGAAAGATAAATAAAATTTGAGAAAAATTGATAATTAAAAGAAAAATAAAATTGCAAGTAACTCAAACAAGACTTGTTAACTTAAAACTAGTTGATAACTAAATTGAAGAAAAATTGGTAAATCACTCTAATTAAGATTGACAATTTCAAAAATGAGTTCGTAAGTAACTTAATTTAGAGTTGTTAACCCAATAGAAAAATTGGCAAATTAAAAGAACAAGTAAACATTGATAAGTAGCTGAATCAAGAGTTGGCAATTCAAAACTTATAGATGATTATTTAGTATTATCAAAGATGGTAAATCACTTTAATTTCTTTTAGTAATTTCAAATAAAGTTAGTAAATTCGACTTCGCAAGTTATGCTAATCAAATTTGGTAAGTTAGTACAAATGGGTAATGTGCAATGTATAAAAAGTTGTTGGTGATTTCATAAAGCTGTTGGTAAGTTATTAATAAGTAATGTGAAAGAAACAATCGCCAATCTTTTTTCTTTCCCAACAGTTTTTTGACACATGCCAATATTTATTAAAATTCGCCAGCATGAAAAGAAACCTCTCTTTGGGCATCCAATAATAGAATTCTGCCTTTAGCCTTTCCTAAGCCCTGTTTCATTCGGGTAAGGTCCGTAGCTCTTTCTTTTGGATCCTTGCTGCCCTCTTCAAAGTGTAATAGAAGTTCTAGACATTTTATCAGTGGGCTATTGAGGTCTTCACGTTTCATTTTGGTAAATTGAGTTCTGTAGATTTTTTATTTTTGTCAACCAAGTCCCAAACTCGTTACAAGTGGCACTTTGAGTTTGAAAAATCACATATGGCTATCCGTAGAATAGACACGTGGCTTTTCCAATAATAGAAAATTGACACTGGGACTTTATCGGCTGAAAAATCTACTTACTCATTTGAACAGAATAAAATATTAAAACCCTATCGACCAATAGACAAAATGTTAAATAGTGTTATTGCACTTACCCCATTTCGTTGGATAATTAGTGTTTATAGGCCATGTAAGGCAATAACATCGTGCTTCAGGGTATTTAATAGTTTTGTCGTCGAAATCATAATCACCGTTCAAAGTCCTAAATAGCGCTTTTTAATTAAGTGCATAAATAAATCACATATAACAGTCAAAAAGAAAAATAAGTAAATCATCAAGTATATAAAAAAAAAGAACATAATCACGTGCATAAATAAAATTTAAAACCTTGAACATATTTTGATTGGCGTGGAGCTTTGATAATCTAAAAATATGACGCACTGCTCTGTCATTTTTTTTTATTAGACACTGCTCTGTCGTTGTTAGCTAGTGATTGCTCGTTATTTGCTTATTCAAATCCCTAAAATGATGCCACGACTTCCTTTTCCGTTTTTGTCAGAGATGAGTCAGAGCTTATACAAGAAATTGTGGAGAAGATCTCCACTTACCTAGCCCGAACACCTTTGCATGTTGCTAAGCATCCGGTTGGGATAGATTCCCGAGTTGTTAAGCTGAAATCGATGTTAAATCTCGAGTCTGATGATGGTGTTCTCATGGTGGGATTATGGGGACAGGGAGGTATAGGGAAGACAAGTTTAGCAAAAGCTCTTTACAATGCTATGTTCAAACAATTTGAGGGTTCATGTTTTCTGGCAAATGTTCGAGAAACTTCAAAAGGTAGCGGGGGTTTAGTTACTTTGCAAGAAATATTACTAAATGATGTACTATTACCTCAACAAAGATTAGAAGTGTCCAATGTCAATGGAGGTATTCATCTAATACAACGCAGACTTGGTCGCAAAAAAGTTCTCCTCATCCTTGATGATGTAGATGACTTGCGCCAATTGAATACTTTAGCAAGTGACAAGTGGTTTGGTAATGGGAGTAGGATCATCATTACTACAAGAGATAAACATTTGCTAACTTGTCATGGCATAAACCAAGATCATGTGTATAAAGTTCAAGCATTGGATGACAGTGAAGCTCATGAGCTGCTTAGTCAGCATGCTTTTCTGACACACCAAATATTGAAAATCAGCACAGATCTAGTGAAGAGTGTTTTGCATCATGCTAATGGCCTTCCGTTAGCACTTGAGGTGCTAGGTTCCTTCTTATGTGGTAGAAGAGAACATGAATGGGAAAGTACACTAAAGAAGCTTTCTAGAGTTCCTAACAATGAAATCAATGATGTGCTTAAAATAAGTTATGATGGACTAGAGGAAAATGAGAAAGAGATTTTTCTGGACATTGCCTGCTTTTTTAAGGGGAAGAGTAGTGAGTATGTAAAGAAAGTTCTCGATAGTTGCGATCTTGAGGCAACAATAGGATTAAAAATTCTCATCGAGAGGTCCTTGATAAGAAATGATTCCACAATAGAAATGCATGACTTGATTCAATTCATGGGCATGGAAATAGTGAACCAGGAATGTCGAGATAATCCCGGGAAACGCAGTAGACTGTGGCGGTATGGTGATGTTTTTGATGTTCTATCAAGCAATGAGGTAAGATTGCAAATACCATCAAAATTCTGCTCCTTATCTTTTACTCTATTTACTAATATGAATAACCTAAATAGTCTTGAATATACAGGGAGATTGTGTTGTCAAAGCCATAGTGTTGGAGCTACCAGAACCAACAGAGATGTGTATCAATCCTGATGCTTTTACAAAAATGGGAAGGCTGAGATTGCTCATTTTGCACAACTTGCATTATTCTTTTCAAGGTCCTATATGTCTTCCTAATGAGCTTAGATGGTTTGAATGGCCTGGATGTGCTCGCCAGATTCCAAAATTTTCGTCTAGTCCAAAGAAATTAGTGGGACTTTATATGAGTGAAGGCAATATCACAAGAGTGGTAAAACAATTTAAGGTGCGCATTTATCTAGATAGACCTTTTTATTATCCACTTCATTTGTATGTGCATATGCGTATTATATACACTTGTACACTAAAGGAAGTGGTGTTCCTATGTTTCAGAAACCACTTCTCTATTTTCTTTCAAAAGGATCCTAACTTCTTGGGTTAGAAATATTTTTATGTGCAGCAAAATTGGCATTTGAAAAATTAAGCGAACAACTTTATTAGAAATACTCAATGGAAACATTTTTATAAAATACACAATACAAAAAAAATTTCTACATATACGTGGAAAGAGAAAGATATTTCAAGATTTGAAATTTATTTATGAAGGTCATTGCATCATTTAAAAATTCAAATTTTAATACTGAAATATGTGAGAGATAAAAAATAAATAATCAATTTCATGTATCTGCCCGTGATATAATATCTATAAAATAAGTAATTGAGCATAATTGATGGAAGGAATATAAAAAAAAAAAGATTGAAATCTTTTAAAGTAGGAGATCATCTTTACCTTATATAATAGTATAGATAAAGTCTACATACTTTCTAAACCTAATATCTCTAACTTTCGACATAGATATATTTCAAAATTAGATCAAATCTACTAGTGAAGATATTCAAATTGCAATTTGTTGTCAGTTGTAAACTTTTTTATTTTATAGGAAAATTGTACAGTGATTGAGCAAAGGAGAAACAAAAATATGACGAATGGACAATTAACATGTATATATAAGTAAAAACACTCAAGGAGTAGATGGTTGAGGGGTAGGCCACGTAGTCATCAAGCGATAGAACCTTACTCAATGCACATACCTAAACAGCGGGGATTTGTCCAGCATCAATAAGATTAGCTCAATCAAAGGTTTGAATGCACCTTTCTGTAAAACAAGGCATTGTTAATTGCTTAAATCATTTCTTAAGGAGTAGCACTTCTAAGTGGACATAATAGAGTATTTATTAGGAACTTTGCCAGTAATGTGTGCACAACTAAATGAATATAAGTGATCCAGTGGGAACATACCACTAGTTTCTTGATAGAAAGTCAGAGCCAGATTTCGAATTGGATATGTGAAATTTTTATTTTCTTCTGAATGTTTTTCAAAGTTGGCTTCATTGTCTTTGCATGACTTAAAAAAAAGTAAGATCTATTATTTTTTACCCAATTATATTGTGATAGTTAAAGCCAGAACTAGCGGTGTCTTCTTCACTTTACTTTGGTGATTGCCACATGAGATGACACGAGGAATAGTTTTGTCATGTGGCCAACATCCGTCTTCGCCACGTGGCACTCCACCATGCTTTTATGATTGTCACATGGCATGACGCGAGGCATAGTTTTGTCATGTGGCCCATATTTGCATGCTCGCCACGTGACACTTCATTTGAATTTTGTGATTGCCACATGCATGACGCACGGCATAGTTTTATCCCAAATCAATTTTCGTCTACTAATGGAGGGTTGATTTGGATCAGAAGTACCAATTTGGGATCGCTTTTGTTAGAGGAAAATTAATTTGGGGTAACTATGTAATAGTGGTACCACTTTAGGATTTTTGTGAAACGAAAATAATTTGGAGCAAATTTGCGAATTGATTTGGGATTTTTAAATTCTAATTTTTTTAATAATTGTCTAACACAATCTTACTTGTGAATTTTTTTATATTGTGTACCTATATGTTATTGAAATCTTACAAATAATATCTAAAATGTAAAATCATAAGAGTTAGAGCTATCGCTGAGGTCTGGATCGCCCATACAATCCTTTCCTCTGGATGATAGCAAGATTAAAATGGAGTCTGCAAGTGTTGTTACATTAATTGTACCTCTCACTGTGTGACTGAAATAGTCAATGGTGCTCTAACTTATCTCTTGTTCTCCGCTTGCGAATTCTAAACCTGTTAACAGCTATATGCTACCCATATAACAATCATTCACAAATGCACTCGTTGAGCAGCACCTTTCAAGACTTGAGAGCACAATACATTGCTTCTTATCACCATATCATAGCATGCACCCTTATCACTAGTCTGTCGGTGTTGCCCATGGTCAAACTGTATGGAACTACTTGCAATCAATTATCCAATGATCCTCCTAAGTATGTCATCTTCCAAAGACTTTACATTGATGACAGATCGACATTGGTATCTCAAAGTCCTCATGAACATCTCGTTAGATTTGACTTGTTCTCCTCCTGTCATGATCTCATTCTTGTAATCAGTCTTCACGGAACTCACAAAGATCAGTGCTATTATCACAATTTTTCTGAAAGCATACGTCATTAAGATTAATATTTTCACTTATCATAAAGATAGTAGACCAAGGATAGTTTTGGAATCTTCAAAATACCATAAGGATGTTTTACCAATAGAAACCACTATCAATTGACCTTGGATTCATATATCCAAAAAAAAATTTATAATCCAAGATTATCATCTGAAGAAGGAAACACCAAATCAAAGTCCATCCAGGACTTTCTTTTTACGCCTCGTCCAATCTGAATCGATCTACATCCTCTAATTGAGTCGGCTTCAGTATACATACTCAAACTTGAGACATAATTTAATTACTCTCTACCTTGTCTCGACGTTTGTAGCCAAGTCATACTGCTCATCCATCATAGTAGCTCTCCCAATGCCCCAATGGGTGCTTATTCTCTACAAAGGCTAATTGAGCTCAAGCTTTGCCATCATGTCTACTGGATTCTTCGTTGTTGCGATCTTCTTCATAGTAACCTTACCCTTCGCCACACATCTCGAATCAAATGATACTTGATGTCAATATACTTCATTCGCTTGTAATAAATTAGATTATAAGCTAGATATTTTGCACCTTGGTTATCACAATGTATAGCAATGTTTTGCTGCTCCAAGCCAAAGTCCGATAGCATAAACCTTAGTCATATTCTCTCATTCGCTATAAAAGTCAGTGCCATGTGCTTTGCCTCAATCAAAGACAAGGCAATGTGGTTCTATAAGGATGCCTTCCAACTCACTGCACCACCTGTTGGTCTAAACACATCTCCAGCTAAGGACCTGCACTTATCCAAGTCACCGGCATAACGTGCAGTCTCTCTACCATTGCTGTCCCTTCAACACATTATACCAATATATATTGTCCCCTTCAAGTATATGAGGATCCATTTCATATCTTCTGATTGTTTCTTACCAGGACGCTTTATGTAACAACTAACAATGCTCACAACTTATGAAATGTCAAGCTTCGTGCTTACCATGGCATACATAATACTACCTACTTCACTAGAATAAGGAACATGGAACATTTGTTCCCCCTTCTTAGTCTGCAAGGAGTTTAAAGTGCTTGGTTAAAGGTATACTCACAAATTTCGCTGATTGCATGCCACAATCTTCTCAATATATTTCATTTGATATAGACACAAAACTACTGTAGCCCTATCACACAATAACTTCATACCCAATATCTTCTTTGTAGTACCTAAAATCTTTTATCTCAAACTCAGTACTCAACTAGCACTTCAGCATATGAATATCAGACATATCCTTAGCTACTATCAATATGTTATCAACATATAATAACAAATAAATCAAATACCCATCCTCCAATTTCCTAAAGTTAGCACAAGTATCCAATTGACTTATTGAATAGTCCAACTAGTCATGGAAACATTAAAACATTTATACAATTACTTAGGAGGTTGTTTTAGCCCATGCAAAACTTTCTTTAATAAGCAAACATGATTGTCCTTGCCGAAATAGCATATCTCTCTAGTTGCCTCACGTAAATCCACTCCTCCCATGCACTGTGAAGCAAGACTGTTTTCACATCTAACTGCTCCAACTCGAGATCTTGTGTAGCAACTAAGGCAAGTAATACCTGAATAGAAGTATGCCTTACCATTTGAGAGAACACCTTATTGTGGTAAATGTCCTTCCACTACATATATTCTTTCACAACAAGTCTCACCATATAGCTCCCTACCCAACACTAGGAATGCCCTAGCCCCTTTTGTTTTTAGACATATTTGCATCTAACTATCTTCTAGCTTTTGGATACTTTGACCAAATCCCATGTTTGATTCCAATGGAGTGACTTCATATCTTCACTCATCGGCGCTAGCCACTACGATGACTTACCACTAGCCATCGCCTCAAAATAAAATAAATGTGCATTTGTCTCCACCTCAAAAGCAATATCTATGATTTCCCTTCTCTGTCTGCCTGTGGCTATATTGTGTCGCGACTTTACTAGTTGTTCGGTATCATCAACTTTAGGAACTGTAGTCTCAATCTCTATTGCCTTTGAGTTGTCTGGACTCTCCACCTAAAGATCCATTTCACAATTAACGCCATGATTCATTTGTTCGATCAGTAGTGTCTCAGCACTCGACTATTGAAGTATAGTAGTCGTGTCTAATGTCACATCTTTGCCAACTAGAAAACCAGGTGACTCGGGACCATTACACCATAGCTGGTAACCTTTCACCCTATGTGCATAACCCAGAAATATGCACTTCTTTGCCCTTACTCAAGCTTAACATCATTTACATGAGTATATGCAAGACATCCGAATACTCTTAGTCCATAGTAGTCAATAGGATTCCATGGCCATACTTCCTCATGAGTTTTCCACTCGAAAACAGATGATGCAGATTGAATAACCAAGCAATAGCCTATGTTCACTACTTTGGCCTAAAATTTCTTGCCCAGTCTTGCATGCGAAAAAATGCACCCTGCTCACTTAATCAAAGTTCTATTATTTCATTCTATGATACCATTTTGCTGTGGTGTCCAGGACACTATGCTGTGTCCCACAACCCCTTCTCCCATGTAAAATTGATAAAATCTTTACTAGAGAACTCCATGTCATTATTGATCCTAAGGCACCTAATTTGCTTACTGAATCCTTCTCAACAAGTGCCTTAAACTTCTTGACCTAATCGAGCACCTCATATTTGTGCTTTAGGAAGTATATCCATACATTTTTCAAATAATCATTGATGAATATCAACATATATTGGGCACCCCTTTCGAAGAAATCAGAGATGGGCCCTAGACTTCTAGATGAATGTAACCGATCGGTTACTTGGTCGAATGCATGGCTATAGTGAATTTAACTTGGCTAAAAATGCATAGCTCATACAAGTCCAACTTCCCTATTTTCTGACCCTTGAGCAACTCGGTATCACTCAGTATGATCATA